ATCTCGTGTCACCTCGTCGAAGAGGAGGCTATAGGTACGCGCGAATGGCCGGTGAAACGGGTATAACGGGGCGATACGGAGGTCTGGAGATCTCGGAGGAATTTAGAAAATCCGTTACGAAACGAAACGAGACGAGGGGGACCGTGCCCCGGTAATCGTGCTCGCATCAGCGGCGCAATTAAGCGCGGTCAGCTTCAGAGGTGGCGTCGTCGCTGCGAGATTCTTTGCTAGTTACCTCGCCGCGAGAAAGCCGAGTATCACACGAGCTGTGGATAATCGGCCGCTGGGATCGCCACCTGCTGATCTCGTATCATCGGCCTAGCCTAATTCGAGCAGCCGGTAGTTCACCTCGGGTAATCAGCCGCGTAGATCGCTCGAATTAAAGTTTCTCGCATGTGGTCCTGGTCTATTAGGTCGCGAAGGTGGCGGCTAATTAAATTCCTCGAGGCCTAGGCTGGATTAGGCGGGTTCACACGGGGCCAGCAGCGGCGAGCGTGTCTCGTCGAGGGAAGGGTCCTCGGGGCCGTCTTCCTCTCTGCTGCTTATCGCACACGTACGCACGTTTACGCGTTAATTGACCCGGGCGGCTTATACGTGTCCGTCTACCTGCAGTCGCGGACGGAGAACCTCGGCCCTTCCTCGTTGATCCTGCGCCGGGATTCGTGTCCTTGATTTATACACGCGTGACAACTTGGTCCGCTTGGCCAGGACTGGCGCAGCTTGAAGGAAGCAGCGGGATGATACGGTTAATTAAAGTCGGCCTATCGAAAATTCGATATCGGAACAGGGAAAGGAAGTTACGCGAACGCGGAGAAGCCCGATTTCGATTACGAATATTCCCGCGAGCTTAGGGCAATCCCCCGGCACCGGTCCAATCGTCTCTCTCGGCTGGCCAGTAATTTACCATGATAGGCGCGTATTCCTATGGTAGCCGGCAGCCTAACCGTCTAACCTAACCCCGAGGTGCTCGGTTCGCGTCCAACATAAATCTACCTTAATGATATCGCACGTAACGCCAGGGTGACGCTATCTCGCGGCTCGGTACACGTAAGAACACGGCTGACACCTCGATCCTCCGTTTCGTACGAGGTGCTCGTAAGAGACGCTCGTAAGAGGCGCTCGTAAGAGGAATCGCGAGCGAGAGATGGTATCGGCGAGATTTCCTGCTGCCCTTCCTCGGCCTGTGTCGACCCGCGTTCGTCGTTTAGGAGGACTCGCGTCGCGATGACCCGTCCCACTCGCGAGAGACCCCGTTTACACCGTCGGGCCCGAAATTTCCGAGCTCCTCGCTCCTCGCTCCTCGCCGGCTCGTGTTTCTCCGCTCGTTTCGCACGGCCAGCCACGATTCCGACCGCGATTCGTCTTCAGATAGCTCGCGGTGATTCGCTGGCCATTCGCGTCGCCCGCGCTTCCTTCAACTTTTTCTCCGTTTGCCTCGCCGTGTACTCGCCCGTAACGCTCGCTTCGCACTCCGCGTTGCGCAGATGCCATCTCGACTTTCGCCACTTTGTACGCCTCCGAGACGCTTTCACGAAACCCTTTCACGATCCTCGATTTCTTTTTATTTCCAGCACGCGAATTTCGGCAGATTTCTGGGCTTCCTTCCTGTTCTGCCTTCCTGTGCTGCTCGGCTTTCTACCTCCGTAGGTGAGTACACTTTCGTCTTTTTTCTTTTATATATATATATATATACACAGACACATACAAATTCCGGTGTTCGAGTGATAAAAAGATTGGAATACCGGTGAAAACGCGAGACCGTGTTTTAGAATTACAGATGGTTTCCGGTTAACGCGAGTTAATGGGATAATCTTGGAAATAATTCGCTCGGATTTTATTTCGAGCGAGATACGGCGCGTTTTGAGCCGAAATGAAACGGTACAAGGAGAAACAGAGGATCGGTAGATACATAGGTAATTAGGTCGGAGATAGGGGCAATTGGAGTGACGAGTTAACCGGGTTAATCTCGCGAGCGAACAAAGGTGCGATTAAGGGTCCGATAGAAACACGAAGAAGCTTTCAGCGCGGTGCACGCGAAAAGCCCGCGTCGGCGGCAGGTGTAAGGTGGAAGGTAGCCAAAAAAGCCGGAGCTGGAGGCCGGAGCAGGCCGCTTCCCGGAGCCGCTGTTCCCGCGAACTAATTGTGAGATCGGTGGCGAAGAAGGGCCGGGATACGGCGGGACACGAAACGATAACGGGGCTTTCAGCGTGGAACTCGTAAATTTGTCAGTGGCGGGTTGTACCGTGGATTTTTAGGCCGCCTCCCTCCAGCAAATTATCCCCCCTTTCAATTTGTTCGCTTCCCCTTATCGCCGCGAAGGCGAGGAGTCGCGCTCGTTAAATAGTAAATAAGGTGTAACGCTCGAACGCGAACGAAGGGGCGGCCAGGGTTCTCCCTTTCTTTCTCCTCCTTATCTTATCACGAACCAGTGCTCGACCCCTGGTTTTTGCGTCGCAGAAGCCACGGCGCTGGTTCCAACGTGCTAAACCACGGAGAAGTTCGTTCCGCTCAGGGTGGCATCGGTCGCTGCGATCTGCCGGACCTTTCCTAGCAATCCCGCTGAAACGCGTGACAATCGATTCCGTCCCGGAAGAACGTTCCCGTTCCCCGTGAAATGGCCGTCCAGATCTCTCCGTGGTATTCGTCTCCAATACGAATCCGAACTGGAGCGAATAATTCCTCCTTTTAAAACTCATCCCAGGGCAAGTTCTATGTAATAAACTCCAATTTTCAAGGTTTAGAGAGCAATGCTGTTCCGGGGTTGAGAAACTGGCTACCTCTTTGTAGCTGTAATTAAGATCTAGAGTATCACGTAATTTTCCTGATTAGTCCTTGCTTTCTCTGTCGTTGGTTAGGCGAATGACGTATCGAATGCTTCTCTAGTCCCGTGCCATAGATGTTTAGTATCAGTGACAGACTTCCGAGGTGCCAGTACCCACTTATTGAGCACAACGAAGCAAAATTTGATAACTTTCTGGTGTTTAATACAGTGGACGAGTTATATTTTACTGGGATAATGTCTCGCAATCAGAATAACTATACCTGCTTTCTTCGCGGTAGCTTGGAAGGAAGTATATCTTTCACTGTTAGGTTTCATTTGAATACTCCAAAAATTGTGAGATGTCACTAGAGCGAGAAATTAGAACTCTCCAACACTTTAAGAATATGCCTAGGTCTGGTGCATCAGTCCACCAAACGATGTGTCATTTTATTCAAAATTCACAACCCCTCCTGCAAGACCAGAAGAAGGTTGAGCACGATGTGCCCTTAGCCACCTCCTCCACTTCGCCTTAAACCAAATAACTCTTCGCGTTACGCTCTACGCCATAGACAAAATTCACAGAAATCCTGAAACCTCGCGTGATGTTTCGCAATTAAAATTGCTCCACTGACTATTCAAAATTAGATATTTTTCCAATGCTCGAGATTTTGGAATTCAATCCTAGTACAAGGGATCCTGTTCACGGGGTTATCGTAATTTTATAACCCTTTTGGTGGCTGTACTCGGTTTCTCGTCCATAGAGACACCTGTTGCCGGAAGCCGAGGCCCCGGCTCTCCTCGAGGTCGTATAATCGTAGGATCCCGAGTTATCGACCTCCCATAGGTTCGATCCGTTCATTAAACGAGCAGAATAAACCGGCAGGATCTCCTGTAGCACTGGTGGCTCTTACGAAATAATAAGCCGCGTTACGAGCGGCAACACACGAGAGAGAGACGGTCGTAATGCGCGGGCGCTTACTCGTTATCGCGCACAATGGGTCGCACGCTGAGCCCCGAAACTACCGGCTGCCTGGTCAGGATTAAAGTAGCCGTGGCCGTACCACGGTGCCCATGGACCCCGGATGAGAGAACGAGTCGGTTGGCTACTACCGTCATGGACCACTGTCTCCACCGAACGCGGATATTCCACTCGCGTGTCGTGTTCTGCGAAATCCTTCCTCGTTTCTTGCTCCTGGATCACTCGCGCGGCGAAAAATCGCCGGAGAACTTCTTTCTCGAAGGAATCCGTAATCTCCGCTTTCCTAGACTCGGGTGTTTTTAGGTTAGCCTGATGCAGGCTCGGTCCACGTCGGAAGAAGAGTTACAAAGTAACGGAGAAGCACGCGGCGGTGTGTTTTCTTGCGTCGGTTGAAAAAGTAGGCTCCGTGTCGTCCCGGTGAGCGAATCGACGCGGATCGAGATAAGCTCGATACCGTAGATCCCGCGATACCAGGCCTTCTCAGCGAGCCACCGAGGATGTCTCTTGGAGCAAGTTCGGGAAAGCGGTCGGTGCTAGGGAAAAACTCCTGCGCGTGGTACAATAGCGAGAGGCTGACCGTTAGAATCGCATTAATATCGCGTAGTGAATCGGTAGTGTCGCGTCGACCTCCGAGAGAGTCCTGCCGAAGAATAGGGAGCAGTTAGATGGCGGTATTGTGACGCGTACGCGGATCCCCGCGGGACGTCCGAGCGGTACCGGGAATCGGCAGGCTCTCTCTCAGTGGGGACCGGTAAATACCACTAATCACTTCTCGATCCTTTCTAACCCACCTTGACCCTACTGCTGGAAGAGTTATGGCCGTTGGTTTTATTCAGGCTACCTCGGCCAAGGCCCCGACCTCCGTTCCCGCCTGGAGTTACTCCTCGTCCGTTTCTGACCTACGCCGTTAAACTTCCAAACGCTGTTGCACGCGCGAAGAAATAAGACGATCCGTCGTAGGTTAATAGACCGAGTAGCAATTTATTGGCGCAAACGTTACACGACGATAATAACCAGTCCAAGTATACTCGTTACTCGATGAAATGCTACGGAAGATTGATAGATCGCGCAGAGGGATCGGCGTACTAGACACACGATTTAGACACAAGTGACGAACGACGAGGCGACGCTCGAAGACGCGGTATCATTCGGCGCCGATCATCGCGGGGAATGTCGATCGTCTCTGACAACGCGCCGAGAGAGATTGTCACCGCTAACGATGCACGCGCACTGCCCGCCAGCCGACTCTACCCTCGCCGATTAATCTTGATCGTGGTTCGGTCGTCGATCGTTGATCGCGCTATCCCGATCGCTGTTCGCCGATGATCGACTACGGCTCGGGCTGCGATCGCGGCTTTTGCTCTGCCTCGCGCGATTCTCCGCGTTCCCGTCCTTGTCGCACGAGCACACGTCGTTGTCCGCGATTTGTTGCTCCACCGGATTGTTCTTCAGCACTTGCATGTCCCTCGTCCGCTTGGTGCACCTGCATCTCGTGCAACCCATTCGCCTAGTCCTCATCGCGCGACCCCGTCTGCGACTCCTCTTCGACCGACCACGTCGGCTGCGACGGCTTCTTCGTCGTCGACTGCGTCGTCGAGATTTTCGTCTCCTGCTTCTTCTCCTTCGTTTTCTGCTCCTGTCCGTTGGCGCTAGGCTCGCCATCGTCTGAGGCTCCTGCTCCGGGCTCAGGAAATAGTGGCCGTTGGCTTTCTTCAGGATACCGTACTCCAGGCCGCGCTTCAGCGCCGCGTGCATCTGACGGAACCAATGGCATACGTTCAAAACGTGTATTTATTTTCGTCTTTTCTCGTTTTTATTTTATTTATTTATTTATCTCTTTTTTTTTCTTCTTTTCTTTTCTTTTTTTCATGGGAACGTGTTCGCGTTTGAAAAAGCGGTCGCGATGCTCTTATAACGGGGCAGGAAGGTTGTGCGTCGCGCTACGGGTTTACAGGGATGTGACTAAGCGATAACGAGATATATATATCAAAAAGTGTTACCCGCTAATTACTTTTGAACGTTTACGAACTCGTTATATCGCTTCCTTCCCGATCGGTATTAATTTCGGGCCATAGTAAAAATACGGAACATTTTCTCCGGCGTATATTTCGCGAGAAGCGGAACACCGAAAAACGTTAGTAAATTATGTTTCAAGTAGCTGTTTACCGTAAGTAGACGATTTAACTACCGACAATCAGGCTCCCAACAGCCGATATTTAGCCGTCGTAATGTGTCACGCGGTAATACGGTAATACGAATGGACGTGATTATAACCAGTCCACTGCGTCTCTTTTATTTCTCTAATTTCGCTGGAATTCGAGTTTATCGGAAATTGCTCAATTTATCTAGGCAAATTCGCAAAAGCTCGCTGGTTACCTGTCTGTGCACCGTGTTCTCAGGAACGTTGCACTGCGACACGATGTAATTCATGATCTCCCTGGACGAGGATCCGTGAGCCTCTCTCAGGTTCTTGATCGCGCTGACCACCCTGGCCGACATTTTCGGCATTTGCTTCCCCATCTTTGCCAATCCTCCCTATGACGACCCTATGATGACTCGTCGCGTCGACCGCGAACTCGACCCCGCGATCGGGATCCGAATAATTTATATTTTCTCCTTCACGCGCTAATTTTGACGATCGTCGCGTTCGCGCGCCGGTTTAATCACGAGAGAATTTGAAGGGATCTTGCCAAAATCATCGCGGTCGTACACACCGTGGATCTGCGTCTCGGAGCCGGTCCGGGCCCTGTCTGACGACTTTGTTTATCCCGGTATCCGCGTTTCGTTCTTGTCGCGCACCGCCGCCGCGCTTTCCGCTCGAAAACGCTCGCGCGATCGCTGTCGTCGCGTCGGACAGCGAACGGCGCGAAGACGTTGTCGCGGTTCGATCGCGACGTCGATATCGTTGGCGCGAGGAAAAAGGAACCCGTTCCGAGTGGTCTGGTGGTTCACAGTCGAGGGAGCACGGAGATTACCTCGTCGCGGAGGACGGCTTATCTCGTCCCGGTGGGGGGGGGAGAAAAATCTGGCAGGAAAAGGAAGTCGCGAGCGTACACGGATTTTCGACGAACACCGGCTGTTACACCGAATTACACGGCTGAAATAATAAGGACGACGAAATAGGTATCGTAAAGATAGCAGGCGAACGACGATGAGCGTTTTACGCGATCGACTCGGTTAAACGGGGGGCCCCCGGTGCACTTTTTCTGCCATTTTCTGGCCGGAGAGATGCGCGCCTGGATATCGAGCCGAATCGAACGACGGTTAATCGATCTCGTGGTTGGGAATATGCATCGCGAAGATAGCGCGATCGAGTAACCGAAAGTTAATCGATCCGCTCGCGTTTCGTGCCGGACGATACCGACGGTGGTGGTTTATCCTTTCGGATAAGAGTTAACGATTCGGACGACGGATCCGTTTGCGTTCGGCGCGATTATCGATCTCGGGGTATCTCGATGTTACGGTACAGGAAATTTATTAACGAGGTAAAAAAAAGGAAGGCGACGCGCGAGGGGTTAACCGGAGGTGTGTAAGCAGGTAATTCGAAACGCGGGAACGTTTCACCGAGTACATACGGGCGACCCGTCGGGCTGCGTGCATCGAGGATAATTACTCCGCGGGCAATTTTCATTAATCGATCGATTTCCGTACTTTTCACCCGACCAGCGTTCGCTTTCGTGGCCGATTAATAACACGTGGTCCTTGGCCACGGGAGGAGGCGCGAGAGCGGAACGATCGTTAAGCCTCGGCCGCGACGCGATACTCGTTAAACTCGGTGATCTCGATGGTAACGAAGGCGGTTTGCAGCCGGCTCGGTGCCAGGCCAAATTTACCGATTAATTTTTTCTCCCGTGCTCATTAGCCGCCCTTAATGGTGTCGGCGGCGTTAAAAAAGCCGCGATTCCGGGTCCGTTGGCGGAACGCGCGTGTACGTATCCCGCTCGGGACATCCTGCCACCTCGCGCCGGTAATTGGATAGTCGGGGATGCCGCGGTTTACAAGAATAACGCGGCAATTTAGCCGACCATTTAGCCTTCTACCTGGCCACGACCGATTCCCCGATTCGTTAATCAGCACCAGGTGTTGTCGCCGCGGCCGCCAGTTCCCCCGCCGAAACCTCGTCGCGACACCTGCAACGTAGATGCTCGCGTCTATACGCCAATGATTATTTATCAACGTCGCCGCTTAGACAAGAGGAACGCGCCGCGGTGCCACGAGCCGAGCGTTTACGCTCCTTTATCGTCGTCAGTCGGAGCAAGCACGCTTCGGTAATCGCGCCGCTCTCGTCCCCCTTTCTCCCCCTTTCACCCCCTTTCGCCCCTTTTCACTCGACGTCAGCCGACGTCCATCGCGTGCTGATTCCATCCGCGTCACCGTTCTTCTTTTCTCTCTCTCTCTCTCTCTCTTCTCTCCTTGCCGCGCGAGCTTCTTTTCAACGGCCACCGCGAAACGGTAATTCACGCGCGGAATATTTACGAGCGTCGCTGAACGGAAATTTATATCGCTTCCCATCGCAGCGATGCATCATCCGCGCGGCGAGCCGGCCGCCAAGCGACCATCTATCGGACGAATAGAAACGCCGGCATTTATTGATATCACCGACCTGCAGGCCTGTTCCCTCGGAACAGATACCACGAGCACAGCCGCATTCCGCGTGCAAAAACTGGATCCCGAGAGAGACAGAGAAGAATTCAGTTCTCGGAGTTCGTTCCGTACCGCGTTCCATCGAATTCTCTCCCCTTTCCGTCATCCTCGTCTCCGGATTCCGCGCTTTGCGTACGCGCGAATCGCGGACGCCCGTTTCGAATCGAGCGACGAACGCAATTACCCGCGCGGAATCCGCCTGCGTGGAACGGTAGCCTCGCGGTCTCCGGGTCACGAACGGCGCGAGTCAGGGAAGAGAATGCAACCGCGAAGAATTCCGCGTGGGGGACCCGTCACCCTTCGCCGCAGGATGTCCGTAAGGACGCGGACACACGCTCGACCGACCGTGACGATTGCCCGCCGAGGCATTTTTACACCTACGCGTCTTCGTTCCCGAGAAGCCATTCGCCTTTTTAATCCGCGGTGTCCCTCGTCTCTGCCGATTTTTCCGATTTTTCTCATCCGCCGCCACGTTGGATCGAGTCGATGCAAAGAGGACGACCCGGAGGACGGAAAAAGTTTGCGATGGAATCTCTTAATGCTTGGCGTTTCGAAACGCCAGGTCTAATCGATCGGTTGCCCCGTGAAAGAGAAGCGGAGGACGTTGGTATCGGTGCGGTTGGCTCGTCGCGACTGTTCGGAGGCTACTTTTCATCGCGGAGACTGCCACGGCTCCCGTTGTACCCGTGGTACGCGGGACACGCGCGCAGAGAGACGCTGGAAAGTTTGCCAGCGCGCTGGTGGAACGAACTGTTCCTCGGCGAACGGGTTCACGGTGCCCCCGTCGCGTATCGACGACATTCAGCCGGGAGGCTTAGCCTCTATTAAAAGCGGATACTGGCTGTCGCGTGTACAGGGGCGACACGCGAGGAGACGGCTGCCGGCCGGATCGACCAATCAACGGCATTGTACCTGTGCCGCGCGATGATTGCAATTGGCTGATTAACGGCCTTCCGAGCGCCAAACGTTGGCCGGGAGCCGCGTAACCCGTAACAGAAAACTGTCCACGTTTTGCATACTCGATTGCATCGAGGCGAGCCTGTGTCGCCTGGCTGTCCATTATCGCCGCCGCTTTTTGCCGGCGCTCGCCATTTTGGTTATATTATCGCGGGATCGTTAGGTCCGCGGCGACGGAAATTATCGATCGGGCCGGTGCACGGCTTATAAATATTCGTGGCGCAATTAATAATTAATATTCCGCGAATGAGCCGAGATAAATCGCCGCGTTTTGTATTCATTAGAGACGGCTGGGAACGGCGCACCGGCGCGCCGAAGGAAATTATTCGCCGCGCAACCAGACGAATCGATTGCCGCGAGATCGCAAGGCCGGTGCACCGAGGCTCTGCTTTTTCCACGTCGATCGATCCCGTCGTCCTTCCGACGGATAGATCGTTTACTCGCGGGCACCAATCGCGGATAAGTGTCATCCGGTTCGAGGATTCGGACCCCCGACCTCGTCGGAGTTCCGGTTACCTGGCAAACGGAAATCGTCTCGATTCTTCCGCGAAAATTTTGGCCACGTTCGTTCGCCAAAGACACGCGCGTTTCGCGTTCAAACATCGATAGAATCGGTGTAACGGTACGGATGTAGATTGAAGCTACTGCTAGAGGAACAAACGCGGTGAACGCTCAGCAGGTTGTCACTAAGGAAATCGTCGAAGAACGGATTACAGATGTATTATAGAAACAGAGGTAGAAATTGTTATCGAAGGATGAAGGAGCATACGAATATTTCCAAGACTTTCCTTTTCAAAGCTCTTTATTCGACAGGGGGTCCGGTACCCCTCGACCGATCGTCGACCGTTATTAATAATGCAAAGTGTTTTACACGTAAAGAGTCTAAGACTCTGCCTGTCTGTTCTAAATATCGCTGACAAAATTAATTACGATTATTAATTCGGATGGCTTACCGACCTGCACGTGTTGGATTCGCGAAAATGCTCACGACTCGTCCCCCCTTTCTTAAGCGTGTTCCATGCCTCTGTTCGTTGAAGGTATTTCTCTAAATTTCCAATCTTCCGACGCTGAGAGTGCCTCTAGAATGCAGGCTGCTCCGAAATCGGGCGTATTTCCCAGCGGGGGAAAGAGCCTGGCCGCGTTAAACCTGTTCCGCGGTTCCTCGAATCACCCGCGTCCTTTGATCACGGCAGCCTTTGAGTCTGGAACGGTACACACGTGGGACGGTGCACGCGGTCGGTGCGCGTCTTGCACGCGAGCAAAGGGACAGCTCGCGCTGTCCTCCGTATCTCTCCTTCTCTCGCCGCGCGTCCGCTCGCCGGCCGGAGCAGACCGGGCGGATTTTCGGTGCACGAGGTCCGCGGCGGCAAAGGGTGAATTAATGCCGATGAGAGCGGGCGCAGTTAATAAACCGGACTTATTAAACGATTACATTAACGCAACCGTCGCCGGAGATTAATGCACTCGGCTCTGGAACGTCTCACTCGTTCGCGAGCGGGCTGGTACATACGTATACGAAGAAAGGCAGAAGCCGACAAGAAATATGATCTACACGGTGTGGGCACCGTATCGCGGTAGCCTGGAGATAATTACGGCCACGACCGGCGATAATTTTTGCGTATCGAAGGGCTAAGGCCCGACGCGAAAGTGGGCCGATAAAGGATCGCGTTAATGTGCCCCGTCCCTGCACCCTACCTCTCCTCCTACTCCCATGCCTCGCGTCACCCTTAATCGCTACGAAATCCATTAGAAAGGCACCGTACCGACCGCAATTAGCGGAAGGACAATCCCGTCTACCCCGCGTCGAGGCGTCGCGTCGGTCGCGTGTCGTTCCGACCCCCTTCCCTGTCCATCTTCCACCCCGCGCTCTCGTAATTACCTTCCAACACCGCGTCCCATCCTCCGCGGAACACGCGTCT